ATATATTGTGCTAAGGACTGGTTTAGATTTGAAGAGAAGAAGAGTATGCCATGCATGATTATTGACCTTATATTTTTATTAGGTTGCAGAGCTATATGTGTGTGTTTCTTCCTTGCGGGTCTTTTTGGGTTGAACATATGTTTAAATGCCTGCTATTTTTGCCTTAAGAGCAGAGGAGACAATGAGCATGTTTGTTTGTTCACTTGCCTTGTTTTGTTGTGTTTATGACCTTGTTCTTGTGTGATGTGTTGAGCTTGGTACTTTGTTGTCTTTTGAACCTTTAAGGGTTAAGTTTCAGCCCCAACTGTTTTGATAAGCATGTTTAAAGCTTTGAGATGTTTTAAAGGAGAATGAAGTCCTAGGTTAGCCATATTTGTTGATGTGTTGGGCCGTGTGATGGCTGAAATTTTGCTGCCTTTATGACCAGTTAAAGAGGTTGAAGTTTCAGTCTTAAGTGTTAAGAACCATGCTCTAAGTATTAAAGTTGAAGAATAAATTAAAGAGAAGGCTTATGTGTTGTACCTTATGTGTATTATAATTTTTGGTTTGTTGTGTTTTAGGCTTTGATTGATCATGTTCGGTGCTCAGCCTTTTTATGCGGTTTAGTGGTGGAATTGTGCTTTACTTGCTTGTGTGGCCTAATGAACCTGTAACGCCCCGTTTTATTTTAAAGAATTTATCGAATTAATTCATGAAAAATCAGAGTTTTTTTATTTTTAAAAAAAAATCCAAGTTAAAACCTTAATCGAGAAACGGGCGCTACTTACTAACAACAACAAACAACACACATCCAACAATTAAAGGAACCTACACATGCTTGAGCAAACGATATAACAAATCCTATAAAACATAAGTCTCAAAAACCATTCCAAAAGATCTAGCATTATTCAAGGTTCAACCAACTTAAACATAGTTCGAAAAGTGAAAGCGGTAAATAATCCAAGACATAATGGCAAATAAAATAAATATCAAGTTTATGCGGAAGCATAGGTTTTCAACACATAATGACCACCATCTCGCTCGTCCTACGCCACCGCCTCGAGCTCGTCTCAACCTAGAACAAAGGAAGAGAGAAGACAACAAGAAAATAATGGGGGTGAGCAACCAACTAGCTCACCATTATCGCACAGTTATCTCGTATAATTATTTAAAAAGCAGTATCACGGTAAAACAATATCAGTATCGATATGCACAGAATTCATAGCCTAAATCCCCTACCCAGCCCTATCGCAAACCTCCTATGTACATACAACAACCTTCCGGATACAACGGCATGGCTGTAACTGGAAACATTCCCACCCCCGGGTACAACGGTTCGCAGGATCCTTTCCAGGAGACAGCAGAGATGTTTTTGCCCTTCCGGATACAACGGCATGCGGCGTCCCTCCCGGATACGACGGGCAGGCGAGCTCCTACTGTTTTCGCATTCATCAAGGCACTAGCGTTCGGGACACTTAGACTAGAGTTCTCATGCATACAAAAATTTTTCAAAGAAATATTACACGAAATAAGGAGTGCGATAAATATGGAATACATCATAAATGTACCCACTTGATTTCAGCAACAGTTCACAGAATCACAAATCCCAAAATGAGGCGAGGTCAACACCTCTAGACACCTACATGATGACAAGATCCTACAATCAGATTCTATCTCGACTTAAATCGGAAATCACAGACAGACCTAGTCGAACTCGTTTCGACTAAGTAGTTCGTGAAGTCCTGTGGATGTTGGAACACTAAGACTCGGCTCTAAACTCGACCAAACCACATAAGGGAGTTCACATAAATCCATCTAAGGATTGACCAAGTCAAACTCACATCAGAACGAAAAGCAAGTCGATTCCTAAATTCCATATAAAAATCATGTTCGGAAATAGAAATCATTTAATCGAATGAAAATTGATGGTCAAGCTACCCTACGAATTAAGCTCTGAAAATTTACCCAAAATTTCATTTTCCAGAAACATGTAAAACCACAAAGTTTCAGCTTTAAACTCAAAATACCATATTTTATAAAATTCGAACAGTATATCAGCAAAATGGGCACATTAATTCATACTCGGACTTAATGACCGAATCTGAATCTGAAAATTTTACACAACCACATACAGCATGCTAAAGTCCATGTATAAAAATCTCAGCCTTAAATGTTAACTGCTGCTATTTTCAAAAATTCATACGAGCAACAGCAGTTTATCAAATTTAAATCCAAACTGAATCAAAACGGACTCCAAAATTTCCCATCCTTTACAAACACGATGAAACACCTAAAACAAGCCTCTCAGTAAAATTTTAGAATTTTTCATGCAGTAACCAGTTTATAAAAATTCAAACAATGTATTTGCAGATTCAATAAATAAAATATTAACCACATCAAATCAACTCAAAAAATTCTAACAATTAAACACAACATATATAAGTCACAGAGGCATGACATATTCTAATTTCAGCTCATTTCAGTCAGGCATGAATTTTTTTTGCATTTAACATTATTCTGAACAGATTACAATTTAATTATTATAAATAGCTACAGGCCTCTAAAAATTACGAAAATTTTACGCAAGGCAGGCAATGAACAGATAACACATCCCTCAAAATTTCAAATCGTTTCGAGCAGCGAGCTATTTTAAAAAATTCGAACACCAAAACAGCGATTCACAAGCTCGACAACTTGGCAATTAAATCACAACATATAATTTCTCGTCCGAGGCCTTTTCATAAGACCAAGGACTCGACATTGTTCCAATATCCACCGACTTACACGACTTTCGAGGTCTCATTTGATTTTTGAGAAAATCGAAGAGATCACGAACATACGAACACATAAAATCGCAACAGTACATATAATCGCACATATACACATAAATAAATTCACACATATATATCACGGACACTTCACGAAAATGAACACTCAACGAAATAATCACATACGAATAAAACGAGACGGAAAAACGACGAGGTACCGTTCTCGGGAATAACTCGAAAACGTCACGAACACGAACGGCTCGACGGTAAACTCGTCTCGCCGGAAGAGGAAGGCTCGATGTGCACGGGGAAGAGGAAGAAGTCGCTGCTGCTGGTTCACGAGCTCGCCGGAAATGGAAGGAGAGGTCGCCGGACGTCGTGGGCAGCACAACAAACTCGCCGGGCAATTCAAGAGACAAAACCGCCGGAAAACTTCACGAACAGCGATGGAGGAGGAGCTTCACGGCGCGGCAGAGGGCCTGGAATGGCGTCGCGGCGCGGCGGGAGCTCTGGTCGCGGCGCGGAGGACAGGTAGGTCGCGGCGTGGCGGAGGGCGTGAAGGTCAGCGACGTCGGGATTTCTGCAACTTGCCGGAAAAATCCAACTGGGGTCGCCGATGATGATGAAGGTGAAGAGATGACGATGATGATGATGAAGGCGATGATCAATGACGATATAGATGAAGGCAAACGATCAGAGAGGATGATGAACGATGATGACAAAAGAAAACTCACAGTGGGAAAAGGGAAAAATTGCGATCGATCAAAAGCTGCGGGATTGTGTTTGGCTAAGAGAAAAACGATGGAGAGATATATATATACATGATATTAGGTTTTGATCTCTTGTTGTCCAAGGCAAACACAAACACTCACGCCCGAAGAAAAAAAAAAAAGAAGAATCTGTCGGGCCGGTTGGGCCGGTTGCGACATCAAATCGGCTCACGGGCTCGATTAACATTCAAACGGACATTCTCGGGCCCAATTTCGGTTCCATCGAAAATTCTCGGGCTCGATTTCGAATGCAAACGCGCGATAAAAATAAACCGAACAATATATATATATATATAATTCAAGCAGGACGAGGTTGTTTATATACTGCGAGTGTTCACACTAGGGGCGGTACCGTAATTACTTGATTTGTTGCGTTCACACTTAAAGAGTTGGTTAATTACGGTACCGCCCCTAGTGTGAACACTCGCAGTATNTNNC